GCAGGCCTTGAACAACATTTAGGGACACAAACCCCAAGTAAACCCTTCATGGAAAAAATTAGTGATTATTTTCAACAAACTGATCCATTTCTTACAAATATTTGGAATGATCAACATAACCTAGTCAATGGTAATAAACTGAGGACATATAGACAGTTCAAGTACGGAGTAGTAACTGAACATTATAATAACATTTACATGCCAAGACATCATAGGAAAATTCTAGCTAGCTTTAGAACTGGGTCCCTTCAACTTAATGTTGAGACACAAAGGTATAATAACACACCTTTATTGGAAAGGAAGTGTAAACTGTGTGACTCAAATGAAGTTGAAGATGAATTACATTTTCTTGTTAAATGTTCACATTATACAGAATTAAGAGACATGTTGTATCAGGAAGCCAAAGTTAAAGTACCTTATTTAAATACTTCAAGTGCCAATCCAACCTTAATTATGATCACATTACTACATGCAAAGAACATTCAAAGCTGCCTTGCTGCTACTCTTTACAAAATGTTCTCAAAACGTTTATTTAACCTGGAACGTTTGTGATATTAAATATGTGCAATATTATCAACCAGTCATAATTACTGTATTCTCATTTATTGAATTTTGAAATCACATGTTTATATTGTATGTTATTTAACTCTAGTCATTTTGTCTGTGAATTGTTCACACTCTGCAAACTTACTCTACATCCTCTGTGATATTATTCGACATACCGATGTTATATTTTTCTATTGACTATCTTTGTATATTTATATGGTGTCTCGTAAGCCGATGTCGGCTGTTGGGTTTTTTAATACATGTATTTTACTTGTAATATTTTAGTAAACCTGTGACACAGAAATAAACTATTATTAAACTAAACTAAACTAAACTATAAAGTCAAATTAGTCGACATGTTGCGAAAGCAGTCGTAGATTGTAGATATCTTTACATAGATTACTCAAACCAAAAACGATTCCCAAAGAATTCAGAAATATGTTTTTACCCTTCGAAACGCCACGAAGATTCATATTTAGAGTTCGTATTCAAAATTGAGATCTTTATTGTTCTTTAATATTGTTGATCATTGCAATTGACTCAGCAATTTTCTTACTCGTCTTAAGTGTAACTAAACCTAATGATTAAATCAGGTAAAGTGATAGATGGAAACGGGCTAGGTTAGACTTTTCAAAATATTTATTGGCCTCTCAAAGTATAAACATAAGAAGTGAAACCAACAAAAACAATTGAAGTGGAACACAATACAAAGACTTTAGAAATGGAAAGGAAATGAACTCAAAGATAAAATGATAATAGGTGATTGATCAAACGCATGTTTTCTCATATTCTAGCACCTTATCATGCTATCAATGTAAGTGCATTTGGGCCAGAGGGATATAAAATCAGAGAGGCAATCAATCAATCCAGGAAAAATCTGATTTTAGGTTTTCACATGGGTTTTCAGATTTAATCCCAGATGAGAATAACTAGTTCGGATTGATGATTCGAAGCGTCATCCTAAATAAAAAATACCATGAGACCAAGACCAAACAGAAGATCAACCCTTAACTTGTGCTTCTGTTTTCTCATTCTGAAACCTGGATCAAGTTTCAACCAGCGAAACTCATTTCCTAGAACAAAACTGATCGTGAAGTCGTTTTTGTTTTCTAGTTGTTGACAATAGTGCAGTCGATTTAGACGGCAGTCGAGTTGACATTTTTTTCAAATGTGTGGTTTTGGACACTGGAAGGAGCCCTTATTGCAGGTCAACAATAGCAATAATCATTGAGGGTTATACTGTACATGGCCCTTGCTGGCCCTGATACGTATGGAATAAGAAGGATAGAAGCTAGAGGCTGATACCAAATGGCTGCTGTTTCATGAAGGGTTTTGTTTTGACGATGTCAAAAGATATCGAAACAAATTAGTTGTCCTACTTGAATGTGACACTTTACAAAATTAATACGTTTAATTAAAAAGTCATACTAATATCAAGAAATCATTTATCCTCATGAACTAAAAAGTTTTACACAACGAAGTATTTATTTATCACATACTTGCAGAAGACAGGTGGAGTAAACATTCAATTATTGTGTTAACTTTTTCGAAACTAAAGGTCATGTCATTGTAACATCGAATAAAGCAAACCCAACCAAATCAATTTCTAAAGGAGTAATCTAGGAATGCGTACGTGTACATAATATATATATATAAGGCCGTTTCGTGATCATTATGAATTTGATTTGTCTGTGGTGGCATCCGGCATTGACTTCCGTTTGCCAATTGTGGTGACGCAAACTCAATAGGCTTCCAGGTGTGGTTTTCCTGTTGGGTCGTCACCACTGGCACGAACGGCACTGAAATTTAATTATGTAGAAAGGAATACGTACCATCATTATGACCCATCATATCTATTTGGTGAACACTATCCAAATGTGGGGTGTCAGTAGGCCTATCGATGTAATTAACTATGTACACTGATCTTTAAAAGGTAGTTCCCAACGCATATTTTTCCAACATATGTCTAGTCCGGCAATTGAACTGATGTAGGGAATTAATCCGATCAATAATGGTCTACAAAGGCTCTTAACCTCCCTCCCCCTCTTTTGTCTTAGTGTGATTCAATAACGGTGTCGGGCTGCATTTACCGAGGCTATTCTATCATAGCCTCGCCATATAATTCTATATATTTCTATAATCCCGTTGGCATAGGCACCAGAGCTGGGTTTTGCCTGTCGCTGTAAAACAACAAACACTCCACAAAAGTCTCACAAGGTTTTTCGATCCTATCTTCGTAGTGCGTAAGTATATACTCAGAAATTAATTATCCCGATTTCCAATTGTACGTGATGGTGAAAGTGTTGTTTTTCTTGCCATTTAGCTATTCAACTACCACTGAGGTCAATTTGTTCTCTGTTTTGTAGATTTTGTTATGAGTTTCCTTTGGTTATAGATTACACGATCTATCATTTCCTGAATGTCTGCCGCTTGGAAGTGTATCGTAATGGTAAATTATGTACAGCCAGACGCACAGAATCACAAATTGATAATTTATCAAGATACGCTCGATTTGGGGGATTTTGTTGGATTATTATTTAGAGTGCAACCACAGTAAAAACAGGCTCGCCACAGAAAGTCAAATTCAAACTAATTACACGTCTGAGCTCACTATTCTTGATAGAAACTCCGGTATAGTCCAGAATCTAACGTAATTATTTTGTTTGATCTCCTGTAATGAATGAGGGTTGAAGTCATGAATAAGAGGTAATTGTCCTTTTTATCTATATATAAATACAATGGAATTATTGACCTATTTTTATAGTGTGGTCATTTATTTTTGTGATAAGTAACAGGGGCAAGTGTCATCCTTGCAGATTTATATCTGTGTTTAAGATCACCTTTCTTCTTCCAGTTCAGGGAGCTGTAAGCATTACTTCTTGGGTAATCCTCGATGAGATAAGACCCCCATATTCCTATTTTCGAAGGAGTTAGTTTGTTAATAATTGTACAGATATAAAATATGGAACAATGTTTGACATAGATAAAGTATTTTATACACCCTTGCTTCCTCCTATCAAATTGTCGGTATTTATATTGAGCAAACAAACTACTTGCATCAAACAATTAGCCTACAGTACACCATATACCCTAAGCTGAAATGAAGTCCTTTGAACATGTTGGAGAAGGATGAGCACGTGTTAACATTGAGATAGTCTTTGAACATAACACGGGAGTCAATGGGAAATTACGAAAAAAGGATCTGAGAGAAAGTGTTCAATTAGAGAGGCATTTAGATTATAGAGGTGTTCAGATACACAGGTTTTACAATATATAGGGTGTCTCAAAAATGTACTCATACATCAATAGCACAGATAAATCAATCAACAATTTCAGACATTTTTTGCATGGTCGTCTAGTAAAAGCAAAGTTTCTCCTCAATACAAAGTTTTACAACGTCTTGCCTTTTTGGTGCTTTAACCCTTTTTAAACCACGTGATTAATGTAACCCCCTCATATTTCGATGACAGTCTGCATCCTCTTACTGCTACATTATTCATCACATTTGAATGTTTTGAATATCTTTAGGACTTATTGTTCTGGGTCTCTTGGCTTGGAATTAGGACCATGTTAAAGCTAATCCCACCTAGAATAACTTAAGGCTAACATCCGAAGAGAAATTCAAAACATTCCACTGGAAACATTACCAAATATGATGAATAATATAGCAGTAAGGATGCAGGCTGTTATCGAAATATGAAATCAAAAGTAAAGAGTTAAAGCATCAAAAATGCAAAACTGAATAATTTGTATTCTGGGGAGAAAACTTACATGCTCCATGACCATTTCAAAAAATATTGATTGGTTTATCCATGCTGATGATATACTTTTGGTTACGTTTTAGTTTATGTTTTATTTATTTCATTAAACTTTTCAACAAATAAATTCAGGGCCTACTTTTGGGTACATTTTGAGACACCCTGTATATTCATACCTTCTGTGGACATATTGTTTTCCATTTAATTATCTATGCAATTCAGTACTTAGTTGTCAGGTTGTGGGATATGAGGCCGTCTAATAATTATTCCATAGGAACCACCTTCAGGCCTTATGATTTTTCACTTCCGAACAACCCAATGGCAAGTGAAAACAGGGAACAGCTGGGAGTGGAAATAAATATTGTTTGGCTAACACACTGTCTCAACATATCATACACCAGTCTCATTTAGGCTACAGCTAAAGAACTTATGATAGAAGAAATTGAATAAAATTAAACATTTAGACCTAAAAGGCTGAATATATCAGAAATGCACCCACCTTATAGAACAGATGATGATGATCATTTGTTCTCAGATTGATCCTATATAAATACCTTTGATCCACCGAATGATTCCAAAAGATTCCAACTTTCCATGTATCCTTAACTTTAAGTCCCAAAATTTCCAAATGACCTCATGCACAACCGTTTAAGGCACAATCTGGATGTAAACAATCACGAGATACATGCTTCATAAATGGACTTTTACCCCTGGGATTTATCTATGTTCGATAAACAGAACAGTAAAGGTTGGTAAACAAGCTCATAATAGCACGTGTTATATCAGTTCACGATAAATTAGTGTGGTGGTACTGGAGTTTTAACAATACCAGGGGGGGAGCTTTTTTCCAGGGGGGGGAGCTTTTTCACAATTTTTGCTAAAAATCATGCGAAAAATTCTCAGAATGGTGAAAAACTGCATGATTTCGAAAGAATTTTTGGCCAGGGGGGAGCTTTTGCTCCCCCAGCTCCCCCTCTGGCTACGGGCCTGCTTACGTTGCGATCTGCGTTGCGACAACCCCATGGTAAGACGCAACGCAGGAGTTGCGCGAGCGCAAATTGGAGATTCGCAAATGTAACGCAGACGCTGCAAACGCGACGAGCGCGTGATAAGGCCTCGGGTAGAAGAAAAGTTTAGCATTGCTTATGTTACTTGCACCCTGGCCATACTTTGTCCCATTATTTTCACAATTGTTACATTGCATTAGCTGATGTTGAGAAATCAGAGGTTGAAAATTTAGGACTTCATAACCGTTTTGAGTTGTAATTTTTAAAAACCTGTCTTTAATTCGTATGGGTAATCATGTGTATATGTAGGCCTTGCAGAGCAAAAATCACTGATGAACAAACACATCTTTTTTATGGTTTCTTGTTTTTTGAAATATCAAAATAACTGATTAAGTTCACTGATTGAACTTTTATTTTTGTTACAAAATAATGTCAAATCTGCTTTTTTGTTTGTCACTACAACATGTACGAGGGGTGATCAATAAGTAATGGACGCTTTTTTACACAGATACTTTTTATTGACCAATCCCTTTACGAATTTTCATACCAGTGATACATTATTCAATTATCTATCAATTCTGAAGATTTGAAGACAAAATATATAATACATGTTGATATATCCTTATTTCCGGGAAGGAGGTACAGGTACCCCGGGACCGACATTTACGTCACATATTCAGTCTTTAGCCAGTTTGGTAAATTTGAGTTAGATTTGAACTTTTTATATGCAAGAAGTGCTGTATTGTTTGAAATTTTTTGCTGACCGGTAACACATAAACAGAATGTATTGTAAATGTCAGAGTGTTGTATGGAACGGGTTTGCAGGTCAATTTGAGAAAGCATTGTGGAAGAAAGGGGTGGTGAGAGAAGGGAACACCATATGGACAATGCACCTGCCCACAGATCTCAAAATGTTCAGAAAACAGTATCCCTGGACCTCAAAATTGAGCCCTTGACCAATGCACTATATTGTCCACATCTGCTCACATGTGACTTGTTTATTTCTATATTACTTATTTCTTAAGTACCTTTTAATGCCTTGACATAGAAATACCTTGATTCACTGAAGTCGGTGCATATCGAAAATTACAATATACTGTACCTTCACATAATAGTTGACACCTCTCCCACCACCTCGAGACAGATGCTTGGGTTATTCCAAATAAGTCCCTATTTTTAAGTTGCCTGTTGCAAAGAACCTCAAAGTTGTGCCCATTTTTAGCGATGCCGGAATGAATGTTGCGTTTCGTTTTCTTGGATTTGCGATCAGAATTTGGATTTAATTATAAAATCGAAGGTTTTAAACACTCCTCATACCATTAACGATTCCTTTGATTTGAGCACTTTCGAAAAACATAATCTCACTTTTATTACACAGTCGCCTTAAGAAAAGAACATACTTACGCAATCAATAAAGAAACTCCTAGATTGACACATTTAAAATAGATATACAATTGTCTTAAAGATGGGTAATATTTGCGATTGATTTGCGGCAGGGTAAGAGCTGTCGCAGCTTTTTGGTCAGTTGCGATTGAAATATCTTCCCATTTGCGATTGCGTTGCGTTGCGCCGAGCGGATGATACAAATCCTGATTGCGATTCGCCAAAACTTGCGTTGCGTTGCGGTGCACTTGGGAATCTGCGTTGCGACGAGCAGGTAATAACGCCTCTGTGCCGCAGAACATTTTAGCTGAACTTTTTTGAACGTGATTATTTCAATCAAAAACTATCAACGTGTTAGGATATCACACATAATCACTGATCTTTAAGTTCAATTTATTTCTAAGATTATACTTTAGGGTAAAGGACCGTTTGCACATTTCCATTAAAATTCCAATATTCTACCGTATATGTTAAAATTATTTCAATGCCATCGAAACCCCCAATTAACAAATACTGATTTGTGTTCGATGGGGGGGGGGGGGGCAATGTAATTTCTCATTTCATTTCAAAATACTCCCATGGACGTTTATTTCGAGGGAAATTATACATTCAAGTCGACCTGGGCCAAGATATTAATGCCTTTGAAATAGAAATACCTTGATTCACTGAAGTCAGTGCATATCGAAAATAACAATATACTGTACCTTGACATAATAGTTGACACCTCTCCCCACCACCTCGAGACAGATGCTTGGGTTATTCCAAATAATATATTCGTAACGTAAGTTCCAATCATCTTCAACATTTCCATTTTCGGAAATTTTTTTTTATAGGTTATGTTTTATTTATCAATACTATCATTTCACAATGTCCGACAATGGGCCAAGGCCATTGGCATTAGTGGCCCATGTCGATTTTCACACATACACATTTATACAATTTCTAAAATAGAGTTAAGTAGGCACATAAAAATCAGGTAATTTTAGGCTGCTGAACACTCAGCATGACAATACATGTAAGTTACATGTGACATTTCACACCAAATATATAAAGTTAAACATAGTCTACAATTAAAGAAATAAAGTTGGCAGTTGTTGTGACTATAAGCTTGTTAGTTTCAATTTTATATGTTGAGCCACCATATAACAATGTATCTAGTTTCTCTTTTGCATTTAGTTTGTTATAATGGTTAATGTTGAAATTGGGTATCCCTGCAAGGTCGAGTGCTAGTTGTTCCCTGAGATCAAGTAAAAAGGGGCAAGAAAAGAATAGGTGTTGGGTTGTCTGTGATCGAAAACCGCACAGGCATTGAGGATTGACATTATTGAATTGATGCTGGAACTTATGGTAACGAAAAATGAAATCACATCTGGTTTTATTAAGCACTATTTCAGCTTGCCTGTCTAAATTCAAGTGGACTGTGTCAATTAGGGTCTTCTTCGGAAATAAATGTTTTTTAAGATGGTATTTAAAAGTGCGCTTTATTGGAATGGTTTTGAGTTGATCAGGTAATGTGTCCTTCTCCCATTCAGATATAGAAGAAACGACAGTACCGCGTCTAGTTTTTTCAGATTGTTTCGCGGGTACAATAAAATGCTTGGTTGGGAAACATATTTGGAGCATCCTGATACTCATCGTTCTGTTTCACCTGAACAGCTCAGGACTGAGAAGAAATGAGATGTCATGATATCATGATGCAGTTGGACAGAGACATATAAATGTTTTACATATCTCTGAGTTGGGTTGCCATTAGCCTTGCCGAAGTCGGTATTTTTTTTACTAATCTGATCTTGAATCATTTACCCTTTGCATTCGTTTGACTTCACACTTCTTAAAAGAGAGCTTCGTTTAACTAGACTCTGCACGCAGGGTATGAATCATTATTACCGCCGGTCAATATGGAAATCAAGATAAGTAAAAGAGACCGACTTGGGCAAGGCTAGGTTGCCATTAGCCTTGTCCAATTAATGTCGGTCTCTTTTACTTATCTTGATTTCTATTATGACCGGATAAGTAAAAGAATACGGACTTGGGCAAGGCTAGGTTGCCATGCGATTTTGTCGATTTTGAATTTCGAAAGTTGAATGATCAATCATCTGACTGCTCGACTTTCTAATATAAAGGGTGTTGCGATTGTAAATAGACTTTGTGAATACGCTATAGGCTACCGTGAATGGTGATAACCTGATCGGCATTAGGCTACGTATGCCCATTAATGGGTGTTTCATTCAAACAATGATTAAACATGTCAATGGGTGTTTCAAATGTTTGTTTAAATATTTCAGACGACCCTCATAGGCTGTATGTATCTCAAACAAACTATAATCTGACAAAGCAAAGCACAGTCAGCACCATCCATTTTGATACTCAACTTTTTGGCAATCTAAAAGTCCCTGCCTGCATTTAGTAGTTATATAGTGTCCTGTGCATAATTTTGAAACCTTATCCTAATTTTTTCACAAACTTTTTGTTGATTCTGCAATAGTTTCCAATTTGTAAACAGTATTTAGCCTTTTTAATTGGGATATTTCCTGGTGGCTGCCAAACAGGGGGGGGGGGGGGGGGGGGAGGGGGGAGATCAGTCCTGGTCAAATTTTTATACAGGGGGTGCCGCTGACTCAAAAAAATTTCATCAAAATGGGACCCACATCTGGGGATTTTTCGGCGAAAAAAGTGACCCACTTTAGCGGCACGTCCCCGTATAGCCAATATATGGAAGTACCCCCGGGATTAACATTTAACACCCCGCGGCCTCAAATCTCATTTTCAAAGAATATATTTGGAGAAGCAATAAAAGCAAGTGGAATTTAAAATTAGAAGATGGTTTCAAATTATTACAGAAATCAATATGAAACTCAAAAATGCTTTCTTAGACTCATAATCACAAAAAGTCGGGTAACTTTTGACATTGGTATCCAGCTAAATTGTACACCCGTAAGTTACAGGTGAAATGAAGGCTTAAAGAAGTGATTATATGACCAAACAAAAACGGGAGTCCAGACTTTCAGTCTAACTGAATAATGAAGACTGATTGTGCTCACTGTGTTTCAATGTCACAATCTTGAAACGGGCTCATCCGGAGTCATCGTGCAATCTGTGCCGTGATCAAATTGTAAGAATAATAGATGTCGCGTAAATATATTTAGCATTGATATAAGCTACATCGCCATTTTGCTCGCAAAACCCGGAAGCGTAAGGAAAATCTTTTATTTATCTTATTATAATATATATAAACAAAATATATTCTATAGTGCATGCTATATTTACCACTTTCTGTTCAACATACATTGTTTGTAATACCATATTGACCGTTTGAATGCCGAAAAATCGTGGATGTTTCTGTTTTCAAAAATTTTGAGCAAAATATACAGTTGGGGACAAAAATAAATGACAGGTCGATTTTCGATCACCATTTCCTAATTATGGTGGTCTGAAAGCCCATAATTTCCAATATTGTCTAGATACATATCCCTTAAAATTTGTATATTTTACATTTTGTATAATCTCATCCACTGATTTATGGCCTCTTGTAAATTCTCTTATTTTTAACATGGGAAGTCCTCTAGTATGTATCCAACAGACTGACTAGAAGTCAGTCTGTTATGATGTACTACTTTCCTGTGGAAATTGCAGTGAAATTTTTTGCACAAAATTATCAATTAGAGGAACCATTTTTTCAATAAAATAAACATTACAAAATTTCAATTAAATAGTAAGGTACAATTAAATGCAATTAAAAGTAACACAGCATATTGTCAAGTGGAAATAAAGCTAGTTGAAGTAACAAATGTGCAAATTAATTTTACCAATCGGCCATTTTGAATAGCACTTCCTATGTAAACAAATATTTCGTATTACCAAACTTTAACATAGGTGCCTTATAGTCTGAATATAATTCAGACTAAATAGGATATAGTCTAGGAAGTCCTCACTTCAGCAAATCCACCTGTCATTTATTTATGTCCCCAACTGTAGGCCTAATAGACATAAGACTTATATAATCTCTTCTATATACAGCTTACTAGACTATTACTTTTCCCTTGGCCTCACGGACATCTAATACGTTCTTCGAACGGGAATGATTTGAAATCCCAATCTCCTTTCGCCAGAACATTCTCTCTGACTGTGCTTGGCCTATGGTTTTGAGCCAGGCTTAGTAGCCGCTTAGGCTAGATCTTAGACTATATCCCTATTTAGTCTGAATATATTCAGTCTGTTGGATACATACTACAGTGGGGATGGCAGAATTTTTCTTAGAATATCATAAAGAAATATTTCTTAAGGATATTCTAAGAAAAATTCTGCCATCTGTGGTAAGTGTGGAACATAAAAGAATTACTATAGCTATGAAAATTACATGCTGTCGCACATGTAATAACTTCTTACCTCAGTGTATTCAGTAATCTATTTTCTCCGTCCTAGTAGATCTAAGTCCAAATACAGTATAAATAATAAATAATAAACCTCAACCATAAAAAATTGTCGCAATGAGCTAAATTCTAAGTTTCGTGTCTCAAACTCTCCCAAGCGATAGAAAAATAATCCCCGTTCACTTTAAGTAGCACAATAAATGAATCCAAAGCTTCATACCTTCAAATGATGGATTGACTCCCAGAATGCAGCATCAGTTAAAGTTATTTACTCGTGACAGGTTTCAAAATGGCGGAAAGGCATTTTGAAAGCTGGCACGTGTCATGTTGCATTCTGGGAGCCAATCCTCCTTGCGACGTAATTGGGCTCCAAAATCACCTCAACATTTGAAGAGTCGGCATTAACATGTGAATATCTACTTCAAATTTTTAAGTTCCTATTTGACATTATGGACACAAATTCTACAATATTTGGACTTACTAGGTCATTCACGATATGACTGGCGACTCTTGCAGTTAGCCTTGCCCACTGACGAAAAAAAAAAAAAAAATCGAAGACTAAAACACCTCAAATCTACCCATATTCAAGGTCTTCTTGGTATATAGCAAACAGGATGATGGATAGAACGTTAGGTGAAAACGGGGCTGGAATCCAATGACAATATCACCAGGAAATCATTAAAAGGTATGTGCGCATTTTTTCTGTGGATGTTTAATGGTTTCGGGAGAGGATTCCCGGGGATTTAGGATGATAAGTGATTGTGAATATGGGCAGAAATTAGGTACGTTCGGGTGTTTTCTTTGTAGCTAATGAAAATAGATGTTAGCCTTGATGAAATATCCAAACTTCGATATATTTTGACACCAGGTCCATGATCGTTGAATATGTCTCTGCACTATTTACTCAACCTTTAAATCGTATTTATGGTAACTCACAAAAATTCTTAAATCAGCATAATCTGATAATTGTGCGAATAACATTGGAAATGTGACGAAAAAAATCAAAATGTTGTAGGTTTGTAATTCTAAAAATTGAAAAAAAAACAAAAAATAAGTGTGAGAATGTTAAATTAAATGTGTAATTTAATTAAATAATATTAATTAATAACTGCTGTTATTTGATTGGTCAACTGCAGAGACATCTTTCAATTAAACAAGATGGCGATTGGATGTCGATTTGTCGTGACCGTGGGTTGCTCGGTAAAAGTCAGCTAGACACAAACCTTAGAGATTGACAGCTATTAACAACCAGATTGTTTTGTCAATAAGATATTTATATACATAATCTGAAAATTTTAGAGAAGATCATTGGACATAATGGAATTGGCACTTAAAGCACAAAAGGCTTGGTTTGGCTTAAAATCAACTCTCTACTCTGCAAATGTTAGGTCCGAAAGTTAACTCTTCATTTATTTGATGCCTGTATAAAACCAATATTACTCTACAACTCAGAAATCTGGTGCACGCAGATAAGTGCAAAAAACATGTTTGATTTTAAGAAGAAAATTGAAAATATACAAATAAAGTGCTGCAGATGGATTCTTGATGTCAAACAGAACTGCAGTAACCTTGCAATATTGAGTGAGACTGGATTCCAATGTCATATCATATTCATTTGAGTGCAATTAAATACTGGACGCACATAAGCATGCTGCCAAAGACTTTTCTAATGAGCAAATTACTTTCACACATGAAATACAAAAAATACAGTTTGTGGTACAATTTCATTGCAAAGTCACTGCAAAGTATTGACATTGATATAAATGATCTTAAACTTCCTGATTCATCCTCAAAAAATACATTCTTAAAATCTGTTAAACAAAAACTTATCACTAAATGCAATGACCAGTGGAAAATGAAATCACATCTGGTTTTATTAAGCACTATTTCAGCTTGCCTGTCTAAATTCAAGTGGACTGTGTCAATTAGGGTCTTCTTCGGAAATAAATGTTTTTTAAGATGGTATTTAAAAGTGCGCTTTATTGGAATGGTTTTGAGTTGATCAGGTAATGTGTCCTTCTCCCATTCAGATATAGAAGAAACGACAGTACCGCGTCTAGTTTTTTCAGATTGTTTCGCGGGTACAATAAAATGCTTGGTTGGGAAACATATTTGGAGCATCCTGATACTCATCGTTCTGTTTCACCTGAACAGCTCAGGACTGAGAAGAAATGAGATGTCATGATATCATGATGCAGTTGGACAGAGACATATAAATGTTTTACATATCTCTGAGTTGGGTTGCCATTAGCCTTGCCGAAGTCGGTATTTTTTTTACTAATCTGATCTTGAATCATTTACCCTTTGCATTCGTTTGACTTCACACTTCTTAAAAGAGAGCTTCGTTTAACTAGACTCTGCACGCAGGGTATGAATCATTATTACCGCCGGTCAATATGGAAATCAAGATAAGTAAAAGAGACCGACTTGGGCAAGGCTAGGTTGCCATTAGCCTTGTCCAATTAATGTCGGTCTCTTTTACTTATCTTGATTTCTATTATGACCGGATAAGTAAAAGAATACGGACTTGGGCAAGGCTAGGTTGCCATGCGATTTTGTCGATTTTGAATTTCGAAAGTTGAATGATCAATCATCTGACTGCTCGACTTTCTAATATAAAGGGTGTTGCGATTGTAAATAGACTTTGTGAATACGCTATAGGCTACCGTGAATGGTGATAACCTGATCGGCATTACGTATGCCCATTAATGGGTGTTTCATTCAAACAATGATTAAACATGTCAATGGGTGTTTCAAATGTTTGTTTAAATATTTCAGACGACCCTCATAGGCTGTATGTATCTCAAACAAACTATAATCTGACAAAGCAAAGCACAGTCAGCACCATCCATTTTGATACTCAACTTTTTGGCAATCTAAAAGTCCCTGCCTGCATTTAGTAGTTATATAGTGTCCTGTGCATAATTTTGAAACCTTATCCTAATTTTTTCACAAACTTTTTGTTGATTCTGCAATAGTTTCCAATTTGTAAACAGTATTTAGCCTTTTTAATTGGGATATTTCCTGGTGGCTGCCAAACAGGGGGGGGAGGGGGGAGATCAGTCCTGGTCAAATTTTTATACAGGGGGTGCCGCTGACTCAAAAAATTTTCATCAAAATGGGACCCACATCTGGGGATTTTTCGGCGAAAAAAGTGACCCACTTTAGCGGCACGTCCCCGTATAGCCAATATATGGAAGTACCCCCGGGATTAACATTTAACACCCCGCGGCCTCAAATCTCATTTTCAAAGAATATATTTGGAGAAGCAATAAAAGCAAGTGGAATTTAAAATTAGAAGATGGTTTCAAATTATTACAGAAATCAATATGAAACTCAAAAATGCTTTCTTAGACTCATAATCACAAAAAGTCGGGTAACTTTTGACATTGGTATCCAGCTAAATTGTACACCCGTAAGTTACAGGTGAAATGAAGGCTTAAAGAAGTGATTATATGACCAAACAAAAACGGGAGTCCAGACTTTCAGTCTAACTGAATAATGAAGACTGATTGTGCTCACTGTGTTTCAATGTCACAATCTTGAAACGGGCTCATCCGGAGTCATCGTGCAATCTGTGCCGTGATCAAATTGTAAGAATAATAGATGTCGCGTAAATATATTTAGCATTGATATAAGCTACATCGCCATTTTGCTCGCAAAACCCGGAAGCGTAAGGAAAATCTTTTATTTATCTTATTATAATATATATAAACAAAATATATTCTATAGTGCATGCTATATTTACCACTTTCTGTTCAACATACATTGTTTGTAATACCATATTGACCGTTTGAATGCCGAAAAATCGTGGATGTTTCTGTTTTCAAAAATTTTGAGCAAAATATACAGTTGGGGACAAAAATAAATGACAGGTCGATTTTCGATCACCATTTCCTAATTATGGTGGTCTGAAAGCCCATAATTTCCAATATTGTCTAGATACATATCCCTTAAAATTTGTATATTTTACATTTTGTATAATCTCATCCACTGATTTATGGCCTCTTGTAAATTCTCTTATTTTTAACATGGGAAGTCCTCACTTCAGCAAATCCACCTGTCATTTATTTATGTCCCCAACTGTAGGCCTAATAGACATAAGACTTATATAATCTCTTCTATATACAGCTTACTAGACTATTACTTTTCCCTTGGCCTCACGGACATCTAATACGTTCTTCGAACGGGAATGATTTGAAATCCCAATCTCCTTTCGCCAGAACATTCTCTCTGACTGTGCTTGGCCTATGGTTTTGAGCCAGGCTTAGTAGCCGCTTAGGCTAGATCTTAGACTATATCCCTATTTAGTCTGAATATATTCAGTCTGTTGGATACATACTACAGTGGGGATGGCAGAATTTTTCTTAGAATATCATAAAGAAATATTTCTTAAGGATATTCTAAGAAAAATTCTGCCATCTGTGGTAAGTGTGGAACATAAAAGAATTACTATAGCTATGAAAATTACATGCTGTCGCACATGTAATAACTTCTTACCTCAGTGTATTCAGTAATCTATTTTCTCCGTCCTAGTAGATCTAAGTCCAAATACAGTATAAATAATAAATAATAAACCTCAACCATAAAAAATTGTCGCAATGAGCTAAATTCTAAGTTTCGTGTCTCAAACTCTCCCAAGCGATAGAAAAATAATCCCCGTTCACTTTAAGTAGCACAATAAATGAATCCAAAGCTTCATACCTTCAAATGATGGATTGACTCCCAGAATGCAGCATCAGTTAAAGTTATTTACTCGTGACAGGTTTCAAAATGGCGGAAAGGCATTTTGAAAGCTGGCACGTGTCATGTTGCATTCTGGGAGCCAATCCTCCTTGCGACGTAATTGGGCTCCAAAATCACCTCAACATTTGAAGAGTCGGCATTAACATGTGAATATCTACTTCAAATTTTTAAGTTCCTATTTGACATTATGGACACAAATTCTACAATATTTGGACTTACTAGGTCATTCACGATATGACTGGCGACTCTTGCAGTTAGCCTTGCCCACTGACGAAAAAAAAAAAAAAAAAATCGAAGACTAAAACACCTCAAATCTACCCATATTCAAGGTCTTCTTGGTATATAGCAAACAGGATGATGGATAGAACGTTAGGTGAAAACGGGGCTGGAATACAATGACAATATCACCAGGAAATCATTAAAAGGTATGTGCGCATTTTTTCTGTGGATGTTTAATGGTTTCGGGAGAGGATTCCCGGGGATTTAGGATGATAAGTGATTGTGAATATGGGCAGAAATTAGGTACGTTCGGGTGTTTTCTTTGTAGCTAATGAAAATAGATGTTAGCCTTGATGAAATATCCAAACTTCGATATATTTTGACACCAGGTCCATGATCGTTGAATATGTCTCTGCACTATTTACTCAACCTTTAAATCGTATTTATGGTAACTCACAAAAATTCTTAAATCAGCATAATCTGATAATTGTGCGAATAACATTGGAAATGTGACGAAAAAAATCAAAATGTTGTAGGTTTGTAATTCTAAAAATTGAAAAAAAAACAAAAAATAAGTGTGAGAATGTTAAATTAAATGTGTAATTTAATTAAATAATATTAATTAATAACTGCTGTTATTTGATTGGTCAACTGCAGAGACATCTTTCAATTAAACAAGATGGCGATTGGATGTCGATTTGTCGTGACCGTGGGTTGCTCGGTAAAAGTCAGCTAGACACAAACCTTAGAGATTGACAGCTATTAACAACCAGATTGTTTTGTCAATAAGATATTTATATACATAATCTGAAAATTTTAGAGAAGATCATTGGACATAATGGAATTGGCACTTAAAGCACAAAAGGCTTGGTTTGGCTTAAAATCAACTCTCTACTCTGCAAATGTTAGGTCCGAAAGTTAACTCTTCATTTATTTGATGCCTGTATAAAACCAATATTACTCTACAACTCAGAAATCTGGTGCACGCAGATAAGTGCAAAAAACATGTTTGATTTTAAGAAGAAAATTGAAAATATACAAATAAAGTGCTGCAGATGGATTCTTGATGTCAAACACAACTGCAGTAACCTTGCAATATTGAGTGAGACTGGATTCCAATGTCATATCATATTCATTTGAGTGCAATTAAATACTGGACGCACATAAGCATGCTGCCAAAGACTTTTCTAATGAGCAAATTACTTTCACACATGAAATACAAAAAATACAGTTTGTGGTACAATTTCATTGCAAAGTCACTGCAAAGTATTGACATTGATATAAATGATCTTAAACTTCCTGATTCATCCTCAAAAAATACATTCTTAAAATCTGTTAAACAAAAACTTATCACTAAATGCAATGACCAGTGGAAGATGAAAATAAACGCTGGTAGCAAACCAAGTAACAATAGTAAAATGAGAACCTACGTAAAATTCAAAAATAATATACATCTTGAAGAAAATCTCACTACTGAAACTAACTTTGAAAAAAGAAAACTATTTACAAAGCTGAGACTCAGTGACCATTCATTAGAGGTTGAAGCAGGAAGATACAAAAATAAAAAAGTAGAAGAACGCATATGTACAAAATGTTCAGATAATTGTGTTGAAGATGAGCTGCACTTTGTTATGAGATGCAAAATCTACGAAAATGAGCTCACTATATTATTATATAAAATTCAAACGTCAAATAAGGAGTTTTCTAACATGACTGAGGAAAACAAGTTCCTATACATTATGTCATACAAATCAAATATGGAGGAAGTCCTGCATTTCATTAACATGTGCTTTAAGAAAAGAAACCTGTAACATCGCAACCATTACAACACAATATCTTTGTAGATTAATGTGACTGTATAAATGTAACTGTATAAATGTAGTTTGTATAATTGTAGTCTGGCCATGCCCTGATAACACAGTGGCCGTGCCTTAATAAATTCTAAATTCTATAACAAAGTTAAACTCAGTCCTGGCCTCATTTATTATCTGACGTTTCTTCGGTGTCCCATCTAGGTTGAACTTCCTTCCAGTCAGCTATCCATCAGTCAGTCCGTCGGTCTGTCAGTCAGTGAGTCAGAACATCTGTTTTTTCCAAGATGGCTGCTTAATTAAAAATGGGATTTTACAATAATTTTCTGATATCGTCAAAGTATGGCTATATTATGCTCAAATTGAAGGAATTTTAGAGTAGATCACAATTATGGTGTTGTTTTTCTGATTTGTGCCTCGGAAAATTCTAAATGGCTGCCTACAGCAGGAATTCGCTATTACAGATCTCTTCAAAGTATGGTTATATTATACTCCAGGGATGAGATATGTATATTAGATATCAAATCTTGTATTGTCGTATTGATTTGTGTCTTTGAAACTCCTAAATGGTCACCCAAATGCTTAAATTGATGGAAATTGTGATATATCTCTAATACAATGTATATGGTTTTAATATCTGCCAATTTAATTAAGGGTAGATTAGATTGTAAATATTACATTGTGACAATATAATGCTCGTTGGGATTTGATACTCCGTGGAGTTGTTGATTTCTAGTTAATTTCTGATTTTGATACATTCCTCATAAAATAAACATATAGTCCAAGCAAGCATACATTCCTTATGAATAAGAACACATCATTGTCTTTCCTCTTGTTCTCATGTTTTTGAGATAGCATTGGAAAACATATTGCGGTAACATTGATCTCTCGAATCGAGGGATGATCTTTCAGACCATTATATTCCTTATTTTCCCCAATCCCAATCCTGACATATCATATTTCATTTTTACATTTTAGTTTTTTTTTGAATACAATGAAAACAATGAATGGCATGTAAATATTCAACTAAAATGTTTATTTTTTAGAAATATGGCGTCTGCAGAAGGCAAGACGTTGAAGATTGGGATGAGGGTTGAGGTGAGAGACAAAGGGACACCAGGGACTGTTGCATATGTAGGAACAACACTTTTCTCTAGTGGTAAGACTTCTACTCTCTATTAAGAATTCAGGCTCTCTATTCTGTAGTGATCAATGATACAACTGAAAATCATATTGTGTTTTTACATTATTATGTAAATTGCATATCTTGTAACATAAAGACTAGTTTTAGGCTAGTGTAATGCGTAGCTTGACTACTGCATATTTCAATTGTGCTTCACAAAAATCACTATATCTTCTTTGTAAAGAACAAAAACAAATATTCTTTGAGTTCAAATTGTCTTCATACAAGATTTTAATCAAACGTCACCAACTTATTCATGCATAAACAATCTATGACAGTGCATTTGGGTTTTTCCGAGTTGACAATCTGAATAACCATACACAACATACAGTTGCAGTCTATATGGACGGTAAACATTTTACCCCATATTTCATATAGTTCTGTCAAAGTTTTAATCAACAAACACTGCATACTGGAAGTCAGAAACTATGACAATTGAAAATAAGCATCTAAAGTGGTGTTTTCATCATTTAAAATGTTCATAGATAAGCTGCGTAATATAGTTTGTCATTCATGTTGAAGACTTAAATAATAGTTGTAGAATCATAAATATTAGTTTGACTACTGTATTTGGATACCATTTTAATTTGACAGATTGGCAGATTGAAAAAGTCAGCCAAATTAAAAATTCGCCAGTTTTCAGATGTATTTTGGAAAATTCCTTGGAAAATTTCAGTTCATGCAGGGCACTTCCGGAATAGAACTTCTGGACCTCATTTTCCCCTTTTGTCAAAATATCAATTCTAGGTTATTTTGAGAGAACTCCAGACAATGTCTTGGTTAATACATGTTGTAGTGACACTTATGTAGACAAAAAGGCTTTCCATGCGCAGTATACTTCAGCAGAGATAAAAGAAACTTTAGTCCTGGATCCACCAAATTAAAATAGCTGCCAATATTTGAAATTGAGCAAATTTGGTGAAATATATATATTAGTATAATATACATATATACAAAATAAATATATCCTACTCTCCAGAAATACAATGTTTACTCCCACTTCTTCATTGTTGTATGATATTAAAATGCAATCGATTAACAGCGCTCTCACCAGGAAATATCTTCAGCATAACCCTTCAATTGTGATAACTCATATTTTTGTTATATTTTATCCTTTATATTCTATTATTATTATATGATGAAGTTCCTCGCCCCATGGTCACTTGGGGTCTCGTTAATTGAGAATAGATTCAAGGTGATACTTTATCTCTTCAATTCTCAAATAACAAGACCCAGAATGGCAATTTGTTATAATTTTTCCAGAATTTGCTTTTTAGTCTTAGTAACATATAATCATTGAGGAAAATTGAATAAGCTTTGTATGGCATTTAAGGGAACAAAAGATAACCCCCTTTATCCTTTCATTGCTCCCGATTTTAGCAGGAACTCTCTTGCGATGCAACGGGCCTGGTTAGCCCCGTGCATTATGCAGCTTAAAGCTGTGATATTGTTCAAATGTATAATAGGAAGCACACATACTCTCTTCAATCTAATTTTTTGTGATATTATTGAATTAGGTGTTTATTTATTGCTCGTTTTTTCAATTGTTCCTGGTTTATTACTGGTCTCAGCATATGGCACGTGACCATGTTGGAAATATCAGTTTTGTCTTTGTTTACTGGTTCTCTTGTTTTTTCGTCCATACCAATTCACCCCTCTCCCCATATAATTAGGAATGTTGGTTTCACTTATTTCAAACAATTAACATTCTTCCCACCTGAAGTATTCCTTTATCCCCCAAGAAAATAGATTAATTTCTTCCACAACTTTAGTGCATTTTATCTTACCTCATTCATGAACATACTTTAACATGTATCGGGAATGGATTGGAGTAGTGCATTTTATCTTACCTCATTCATGAACATACTTTAACATGTATCGGGAATGGATTGGAGTAGTGCATTTTATTTTACCTCATTCATGAACATATTTTAACATGTATCGGGAATGGATTGGAGTAGTGCATTTTATTTTACCTCATTCATGAACATACTTTAACACTTATAGGGAAATGGATTGGAGTAGTGCATTTTATTTTACCTCATTCATGGACATACTTTAACACTTATAGGGAAATGGATTGGAGTAGTGCATTTTATTTTACCTCATTTATGGACATACTTTAACACTTATAGGGAAATGGATTGGAGTAGTGCATTTTATTTTACCTCATTTATGGACATACTTTAACACTTATAGGGAAATGGATTGGAGTAGTGCTAGATGACCCCAAAGGAAAGAACAATGGAACTGTGCAAGGCAAGAAATATTTTGATAGCCCTGACAACCATGGTATCTTCATAAGGCAATCACAGGTAACTGAATTGTTGGATGAGTGAGTCCAATTTTAAAGAATTGAAATTTGTGTCAATCTTGTTCTTGTTAAAATTGTTCAATGACGTTCCTTCAGTTTAGTACATTTAATTTGTCACTTTACATGTAAAAGACACAAGTTTATTTATTATTTGATAAACTACCATTTGTACATAAAATATTTAGTTTCTACAAACTAAAAAAATATTTTAGTATCGCTATTAGCAATATCAAGTTGTGAAAGTCATCTGTCTCTATTTCAGTTAAACATTCTAGAAGATTCCACTCCTGTAACAGTTCCTGTTACCCCTTCCGCTCCTAAAAGTGGACTACCCCATGCTACCCCCAGATCAAAACTTCCTCAGACGCCTGCAGAGCAAAGTGCGAAGAAAAGTAATCGATTATCAGGAATCAGGCCTCCTTCAAGTAAAAGTAAGGAATTGTTAATTTCTGAAATATTTTGGCCTCTGAATGCTTGTGTCTCCCTCTAAATAAATGTGTGTCTGAGTTTAGGTGTCTCAGGCTACAAGTGTCTCCTATCTCCAAATACTGATGTCTTTGAAGATTTTGGAAGAAGGTCTTGTAACGAGGTTTCAGCATAAATTCTATCAAAACCAGGTGTACAAAATACATGCAGAAGTTCCAATTCAGAAGATCAAAAGAAGTTTGATTTACTTTGTCTATTGCTTCACTCTCATACATTCAGTAGTACAGATTGTCAATCTCACATATGAAATGATTCAGGAGATGACAAGGCTGATCATTCCAGTGATATATATACTGTTTCTCCAACTCCAGGCAATGTTCACTGCCTTTACCTCCATTGTCTGGCTGTGACACATACCAATGACCAAATCTGATTGGTTTAAGATTAGCAACCCACGTCCACTGCCCTTCACTAGCAAGATCATTTCCCCCAGTCCAGAAACTCAGACCAAGGGTAGCTGAAAATATTGGTTTCATTGAATTATTAAGAGAGCATCTCATAAGATCCATGTCAGTATATTAACTCTATTTGATGAGTTATGGGGAGGGGGTTATGAGCCATTATAGTTAGCTTATCCAACATAACCGTTTCATGCAGTGTATACATCTGCTATGTCAAGATTACGAAAATTGAAAAAAGAAATTTGAAACTATGAACAATTTGTAAATAAAATCTGGATATACGAGGGGTGATCAGGAATTTCTGGACTGTTGGTTCTATTTTTGCTATTTTTTATCCTTTCTTTGTGATTTGTTCACACAATATAACTCAAATATATAGGATCACACCCTGAAGATTTCATTGTTCTATGACATCATTATCCTATTATTTTTGTTACCAAGGTAACCGGTGATGCAACAAGGTGGAGCTCAGAAAAAATACCAAATTTGAAAAATCAACAGTAATTTTATATGATGTTTGGACACTGTATTCATTGCTGAATATGTTACATACTGTAATAGGTTGTATTATTTCATTAAGTACTTTCATTAATGTTTATAGTAGCTGTCATTATTCTTCCATTAATTGTAATCCTTCAAAGAAGTTGCCAGCATTTTGTAAGCATTTGTTATGCCTTTTCACCCAGTCCCGAAAGATGTGATACAGGCCTACTTTGTAACAATGTGTGAATTCTCGAATGATCTCATATTTGTCCTCAAAGTTGATATCTCGTCATGGATAAAAATGGGATCCCTCAAAAATCATAGGATATCCTCTATATATTTGGGTTATATCACTAAGAAAGGATAGAAAATGGCAAAAATAGAGCCAACGGTCCAGAAATTCCTGATCACCCCTCGTACATATTGTAGAACCAAATCATAAAACAGTAAAGAAAGCCAACACATCGTGGAAGGAGGATTATAAAAATGACAAAATGAAATTGGATTTGTTTTTCAGTACAAACATCCACAAGTTCCAGGGATATAGAATATAGAACTTTTGAGATCGCCCCTAGGCCTAATTATCAAACAAATATATAACATATATTAATCCACAAAAGATGATAACTAAAACTACATAGTTCTGAAGTGAACCTATCTTTTAATCGCATCCGCTTGTACATGTACATGGTCAAGAAAGCGACAGATGTAGTAACGTAAAGGGGGTCTGTAATTCTTATCTTAAATAACCCTAGAATGCATATTGGAATGTTACTTATATAATCATTAGACTTGGACAAGGACATTCATTTCTGGAAATGTGAAAGCTAGAAAAAAACATCAAAGTAAGCAAAAGCTCCAAAAACTACTTGCTTTTAAGATTCTAAAAGGCAGTTTATTGACTTTCTACATGAACAATTTTTTCAAAAATGGGTTATTACAAAAAATAACATTAATTCCAATACATTCTATGTAATTATGAAAGGAGAATATTATAACACTGCCCCCAGGATTCCGTGTTTGCAGAGCGCGGACGGAATTTGCCTCTGCCCGCGGAATTGCAGAATCAACTATTTTGGTCAATTTCCGCGGAATTTTCCGCAGAATCCATATATTTTCCAAAAGTTTAAAAAGTCAGTCTTACCTGTAACAATTTGACACGTTTTCAGTCAAATCCCTTGCAGAAATAACCCAAATTATGCGAAGTGAAAATTCTAAACGCCATCGTTTGATTTCTGCCGTTAGATGGCAGCATGTATGTAGTGACTGACTACCTGACTAGTCTATCACGATATTTTCCCGTTTACTGGTTCGAAAACCATTAGTTTTTCTTTCGGTTCTCGTCAGAAAGTTAAACAAAGACATAAATTAATAACAGTTATTTATATTATATAAAAAAATGCCGCGAATATCCGCGGAATTTCTGCAGAATTAGCCCTTTCTTCTTGCAGAATTCACTAATTTCACTTGCAGAATTGAGCATTTTAACTTGCAGAAAACTGGGGGGAGTGTTATAAGGTTATTTAGCAGGTCATTAAAAAGTAAGTTATGTAATGTAATTCAATTTTTCTTGACCTCTGATTTACAAGATCTCTCTTACTGAGGTCAAATTGAAGGCATTAATTTAGGTGAAGGACCTCTGTTTGAGATGAAAGGTCAAATTGTTATTGCACTGTGTAATTGTGGCAAAGTGTACTTTAAAAGTGTTATTTCCGCAAATCAGCTGATCTGGGTATGTACCTCAAGTGTGCAGTTTTAATTGCTATTTAATAACACACCTATCAAGATTATCTTGTCATTTCCTTTTTATACTCCACTTAAAGTAAATGGAGTAATTGTGCTTTTTCTACCCTTTTCACAAGTTTGATATTACATAATGTACTTTTTAAAAGAGAGCTTTAGCTAAACACCTAAATAAGAGATAATACTTTGGTCTATTTGTACCCAATCAGATGAAGTGCATCAGAATTTAGCTAGCCAATCAGAATTACTATCACAGAATTTTATGCCTTCATAAGTAGCTGGCATGTACAAGTATTTCGTATTCAAACTCTCATAAATAGCTATGGCAGTTATATATTGGTTCAGTAACATCTTATTAGCATTACAAATGTACCCTAGTTATCCCATAGAACGAAGTTTGAGGGGGATATAAGAAAGCCATCCGTCCGTTCGCCTGTCCGTCCCTCCTTTTATCCATCTGCTGGGGCAATAACTCAAATACCCGTTGACAGATTTGATTCAAATTTTATAGGCTTATGCCTTATGGGGGTAGCACCTCTGCTGGAGAAGGAATTTTCAATATGGGTGCTTAATTAAAAAATTGTGGCCATTTTTCGGAAAAAATATAGTCTTTGAGAACTGAAATACAAATGGATGGAATTGGTTCAAATTTTATATGCTGTTGCCTGGCTGCCATTTTTCATTAAACATGTAATCCTTGATAACTCAAGTACCAGTTGACGGATTTGGATTAAATTCTTTATGCTGCTGGATAGGGACTAAAGAGCTCTGCTAAAGAAGAAATTTTAAAGATGACAGCTGAATTTCAAAATGGCAACCATGTTTCATATAAGCATAATCTTTGATAACTCAAATACCAGTGGATGGAGTTGGTTCAAATTTTATATGGCCGCTATTTATCAAAACATGTTTTGTTCGATGGGATTTGCTACTCTGTTGAGTTGCTGTTTTTCTAGTTTGAGGGTATGTACTCATACTAGCCTTAAACACATTTTATTTCAAAGTTGTACAACTTTCAAGTCACTTTGAATTTAAAGATTTTTGGGTAGTTTATGATGAAAATTACAGACCACTCCTTACATATTGACTTCCATACATTAAACCTTAGTAAATACTTACGCCACTGACGCTTGATGTGTCCAATGAGGAATTTGTTTTCATGTGGGGTTTCTATAGAGACCAAACTTGCTCTCATGGCACTGCAATATGTGTTGGCCTCGACCCATGTCGCTTTCATTGTGCTAAACTTGTAACATGATGTCTCATAACGTATGAATCCATTTGGGCAGACCATCTGCTGGTATTTTATTGTAAGTGCCTTCAAATTCATTCTTTTACCAGAAGGTTTAGAGGCCACTGAAAGAAGAAAAATCAGTAATGAGTATATTTCTAAAAGATGAAATGATTTCTCATCATATAAACGGCATATAACAACTTTTTATTTAAATAATTATGTGAATGTTTTTATTAGTTGATATCAATAGAAAATGATAAAATATAAGATTGCATGTGATCCATTCATACAAATTGTGATTGGGAATTGTACTGACCACATGAAAAGTTATTTTACTTAATAATTTGCAGTCAACCTAAAAACACAATTTTACAATGATTTATAACTGAGCTGTCTCCTCAAGAATTTGCAAAATGTAACAAAACTAGAAAAGCAAAAATTGAAATGATTTAAACCTACCTGAATTTGTGATAATTAGCAAAATGCCAAGACTTAGAGAGATTCTGGCCAAGTTATAACTAACATCCATCATCATGTGTCTGTATTTACTATCTTATTTCAGTTATTTATTAATCATACCCCAAGTGTTGATTTGTGTGTCAGTATCTCAACTGTATTATCCAAAAAGTGAATATCAGCTGACTCTAGAATTCTTCAAGAACTGGTATGGTTCTGGCAGGATTTATGACGTCCCATAAACAACTCGTGAAAAAACTAGTGATTGGTGATGATAAGGTTCTTATGAATAGATTTGTCTTATTTCTTTTATGACTGGTTCTCTGTTCTTCATCCATTTTACCTTTTCCAGGGTTTTCTTACGAAAAAGTAAAATTTTTGTCAAATGTTGGTTTTAAAAAGTATGTACATGTAATAGCCATCCGTGTTTGATTTATTTTTAGTTGGGGCTTATTTCACACCAGTTTCCATTCAAAGGATTGGTATCGATATGGTGAACTGAATTCAACAATGTTTTTTTCTTAAACCAATTATTGAAAACATTCTGTATAAAAACACGGTCCCTTATGTAATTTTGACTGATACACAACAATTTAATGCGAAAATAATTTTTATATATTTTATATAACTGTTTTTATTAACATTTTTTGTTTTTTAGTGCAATTGTTTTTTGTTCTTTTTTACCAATTCTTGAGAATGAAATAAAATATCTTTCCGAAGCTTATTGGATCAAAATAGCATGTACAACATTTTCTTAGACCTCTCAATATTATAGTTATACAAAGGAAATTTTGGTTGATTTAACAAAAAGTATTCAAAAAATTAAAACAAAAAACCCCAAAATGGATAAAAATTAAGATAAACCTTTTATTTCATTAACAAGATACTTTTTGAAAATCAACCAAACTTTCTTTTGTACAATTACAATATTGAGAGACCTAAACACGTTGTGTTTATGTCATTTTGTTCCAATGAGGTTTCGGATAGATGTTTCATTTCATTCCGAACATATGATACCAAGAACAAAAGAAGTGTTTGATGTGTTTTCTAAAACAATATAGAGAAAGTATATGTATCTATTTCAAATCCTACTGTTACCATTCTAAAGATGACCATTAAATTGACAATGTGTAAAATTTTCAGAATTTTTTGATGACTGGTTTAAACATGTGTTTTCAAAGAATTCACCATATCGATACCCATCCTTTCAAATGAACCTCTTCACTTCTTGCATTTCACTACAATTAAGGACATCATTTCCTCGCCTATAAACTTTATTCTGAACTATTTTCCACTCTTTTTCACACTCAACATTTGACCTCCATAATATTTGATTCAAGTCTTAATCTTATTTATTGGCTCTTGAATGTTGAATGAGGGGCATTAACATTTCTACTCATTGCTTCATGGTTGTGTGTTAATGAGCCTTTCCTCTTGGAGCCGACATATCAGCTGATTCACTAAATAGATCTTCAAGAGAAGATTGTGGACTGAGAAAAAAACATGGCAGTGGTATTTGTCTCTAATCTTTTCTAAAGAAAGGCAGGGCTCAGTAATAGTATGGGCTTCAGAAATAAATTGTTTAACTTGCAGGGGTTTTATGAAAAATAAAATATTGTTTCTCTCAAGGAGTCAAAAGGTAACTCTAGTGACATACTAAAAGTGATAAACTATAAAATGTTCACTGAGCCAATCTCAAAAATGGTTAGACAACTTACATAGGTTTTACTGTAAAATAAAACATTATAAACGGTTGAGGAACTAAACTACACATTAACACTCCCAGGGATCTGTAGTTAACTTGTTATAAATGCCATATTACCACTCTCACTGTTATTTATAGAAACATTCAGCTATTTTTGATCTTATAAAATTGCCATGAAAATCATCATTCACTTGAATGTTGTCATGGATACAATATCAGCATGGTGCTCATATCTTGAAATGCAAAATACTTTGTATTTAAGTTGAATAAGTAAAAATAATTAAGTTAACAGCCAAGTAAAGTCAATACTCAAAGTTGTAAAAAAAAGTGTGAGAAAATGTGAGATTATCTAAAGAGAAACTAAAATTGGCAATTCCATGGAGTAACAAGTCCCAACAAACAAATTTTAATCTGAAATGTCACTTTATAATATATCGTATATGATAAAATATAATAGCCATACATAAGAGATCTCCTGATTACTGAGAATTCTTGTATAAGGTGACCCTTTTGGATTTTATAATAAAATTTTATAATTATAGTAAAAACATTAGACTTGAGGTTGGTTTTGAGTTTGTATTGTTGTCATTATGTTACCACCTCAACTTTGACTATCCACAAGCTATTCTTAATTGTCAGTGACTTTAAACTTAGAAATAAAAACCAAAGGTATGACATTTTTTATTTCAGGTATTGAGAACTTGGCAGGTTCAGATGGGTCTGGACGCTCAACTCCTACAGGGGATGCTACGCCCACTGCAACTCCAAAAGGCCTCAAGACACCTGGCTCGAGTAGCCAGGAAACTATTAAGCCTCCAGTTAAGTCCATTGCCAAGGCTGTTGCGGCTGAAGCGCCAGAGAGAAAAGTATCACAGGTCAGGTTTATTTGAATATCATTATTGTAGCATGTTTTAAAGCATGATAAAGGGTCATATTAACTCATCTGTTGTAACGGGAGATACAAAAGAAAATCCACATGCATGTTCATATTTTCCAAATCAATGCATCATATTATATCATCTTATTTAAATATTATGATGTTTTTAGTTTGCTTTCTGTGAATTTAATATTTGCATTTCTCTTATAGTTTGACATTTTATTTTCACTTCCAGGTTCCCAATACCCAGGTATTCTTTCATCTTTATTTTGTATAAAAATTGGTAATCTACAATACTGTATATCCATCTTTATACTATACAGAGTCGGCCAAAGAAATGAGAACATATTCTAATTATTTGTCTATTCATGTTGCTACTGTGGCATTTCTTGGCTCACTCTGTATATTGTATATTCTATAATATCTGCCATTCTGCCTGTATTCCCATAAATGTGAAGATGTATGTATGGTTTGTTAGTTTTATTCTATGTCATCCATATTACAATACCAAGGGACCAATGCAAAAGAACAATGTCAGATAACCATAAATTTTGATAGTTAGAAGGGAGGAAGAGTGTAACTGTGTGAAATATTTAAGTTCTGCTGACATTGATTATTGAATTCCTGGGAATCTTCATCTTAGTTATTTTGTCCAGTGTAGATCCCCCACATTGCCTAGAAAATAAAAAAAACTTTGGAAATTTTATCGTAAAATTATCACATAGAAATTGATAAAGAGGGAATATGATAAAAGACTACTTATGGAGTGACTCTCTGGTAGTGGGTAATAAAAGTAAAATCGTCACACAAGCAACTGACTCATGTAAGACTGCCAATACTGAGGTTAAATAAATGTGTAAACTTCTACAAATCAAACATCAAATATACAAGAATATAAGAAAGTACAAGAAATATCCCTCTATTTACTTGCTAACCTGTTGCATTTGGAATTAATTTAAAAAATGCCAAGAGGAACAACATTCTCATATTTAGTTAACTGGCGGACGGGGAGGGGGGGGGTGTTGCCTGAGAGTTAACTATCAAAGTAAAGATATCTCTCCTAGACTCCTACATTGAACTTTTGCATTGGTCAAAATGTATCTCAATCAATTGTGATTGTAGACTTTAAAAAATCAAAAAGATCAATAACAGACATATTGCAGAAGTTTATACATGAAGGAGGAGTGGGAATATTCAAATCAAATAACCATACTTAATTCACATTTATGAGGGTACCTCAACCCTTGCCTTAAGTAATTATTTCTCTTTCTATGGTAATATTGTCCAAATATCCAGTCGTAAAACTATGAAATGAATTTTTTTAATTTAATGAGTTCTTTGATAATGCCTGATTTTTCGCCTGATTTTGTAAGAGAATCAACAGTTGTGTCAACAAATCAGAGCTGTCATTTATGTCCCCAATCTAAATGTATTTTCCTTTTTACAGTAACTGATATTTGGACACAATTCCTGTTTAACCTCTTGACTACCTGGAGTGACGAGATTTCTCGTCACCTCAAAAATGAGTGACGAGAAAATCCGTCACAAAGATTTTCACTAAAATTGCTCTTATTTGAACAATTTACATCCAATTTACACAAAAATTGTTTTAAAATGTGAAGAAATGATCTCTGCCGTCTAATTGTACTAAGTTGAGCATTTAAAGGTGTATGGGTATGAAGTAGAATGTCAAAAGGTGATAAAAATGAAAAATTCCCTGGTTTCAACCGATTTTAGAGCCTGGGATTCAAGAGGTTAAATATTAAATGCTTTACCAATGAGAGATAACTGTTTATTTAAAAAAGTTTCATCTTTCATTCTAATACTTTTTATTACATTTGAACCAATTTTGAGTGTTAACACATGTTCCCTATAGTCAAATTGGCTGATGAAACAACCTTTTTAGGGTTGTCCAGTTGGCTGAGCAGTCTAGAGCATTGGGCACACTCAGCTATGCACTGTAGCTGTAACAATGAGGTCATGAGACACACCAGCTCCTTGTGTTTATTCATTTGGATTTAGTGTCATAATTTATATAACTTCTCTACCTATCATTCTTCAACTCATAAAACAAATTAAATTACAGGTATATACTAAAAAAGGTTTTCTCATCTCAGTTTATTTCAATTTAGAAGTAATTCCAATTTTCTTAACCTATACCTAATTAAGACTCAAAATATCAAACCTGCCCAGATGTTAATGGTTAATAGTATCGAGGTGACTACCTAACCCATCTATTATCTAACCCATCGTCTCTTTTACAGCAACAACTATTTCTATTAGATATAACTCAGATATCATTTATTTTACATGCTTCTATATTCTAATACTAATTCCAGATTGTTTTGCATTCTTATGAAGTAATATTTTAATAGAAAACTTTTAGCACTTATTGATCTTGAAGTGTCTCACATTTGATAATTAGACCTTTTATATTTATTTCACCATTGATCTCTCTCTGCAAGTATAGACTGTTTTCAGACAAATTGAAACATATTATTATTGAAACCGTAAGAATGCCCTCAAATATCTCAAATGAGAGATAACTTGCCATTGACAAGAATAAAATATATAATATGATTGTTTTAAATTGGAAATGAAAGATCAGCAAATTTTGAAACAAAACAAATTAACACTTAAATTCCATAATTCAACTATGTATGGAAATAAAAAAATCTAGACATTTCATTGAAATTTTTGAATAATTGAAGGATAGAGTTTTCAAAAATTCTGACTTCGTTGCAGACATCCGCAGCCCAGATCAGTGGGATGAGTAAGTCCATTGATAGCCAGATGTTTGGCTTGCAGCAACAACAAGAGATGGATGGGCTAAAGGCAGAGGTCAAAGGTAAATGAATAATGAAAGGGTCATAAACAGAAACTTTTTAAGATGAAGAATTCCTGAAGTGCATAGTTTACTTACTAAGATGTCATATTTTTGGGTTTCAACGTGAATGGTCCCCATGATCTTCACTTGAGTATAAATGGTCTTAGTAAGTAATACACTACAAATAAACTAAAATGTATGCAATTCCTCTAGCCTTTTGCAATGTCCCTTTCAGCTTTTAGAGATCATGCATCAAAATAGCATATTTAAAGCATTTATTAGAGTGTACATAAAACTCATGATCCTTTATTTAAATACCATGTTCACATTCATGGAAAACACTGTTGCCTTGTTAAATTAAACAACAAAAGCTGCACTGTTGGTACTAAATATGAATTCAGAATTCAGAATTACTTTTTAGACTTGGAGGAAAAGCTGGAGACTATCAAAATCAAGAGAGCAGAAGACAAGACAAAATTAAAGGAAGCTGAGAAGATGAAGATACAGCTACAACAGGTAGGTGCATCTTTATTCATATCCTAAGATTATTAATTCAGATTTATTATCTATCCGAATAAAGTTTGGTAGGGTTATAGAGAAGCAGTTCATCTATCAATCCATTTGTTTGTTCATCCATTTGTTTGTCCATTCATTTGTTTGTCCATTCATTTGTTTGTCCATCCATTTTTTTGTTTATCCATTTGCTTGTCCATCCCTTGTTTGTTCATCCATTTGTTTGTCCATTCATTTGATTGTCCATTCATTTGTTTGTCCATACATTTGTTTGTTCATCCATTTGTTTGGCCATTTATTTGTTTGTCCATTCATTTGTTTGTTCATCCATTTGTTTGTCCATCCCTTGTTTGTTCATCTATTTGTTTGTCCATCCATCCTTTGCTCAAGAAGGAATTTTTATTTTGACTGCTGAATTCAAAATGGTTACCTTATTTTGTAAACAATGTAATCTTTGATTCATCACCTACCAGAAGTTTGTCATTATCCCATTGAACGAAGTTTGGAGGGATATAGGGAACGCCTCCGTCCGTCCGTCTGTCCGTCCGTCCGTCCGGGCAATAACTCAAATACCGTTGGCCCGATTTTGTTCATATTTTCTACACATATACCCAATTGGGGTAGAAGTTCTGCTTAAAAAACCGATTTTCAAAATGGCCGCTCATTTAAAAATGGCGGCCATTTTAGTGCCGATTTTACAGTTATTTAGGTACTGCATCTAAAACTGTAATAGCAATATGTTTTAAATGTAAAAAAGTTATAAAGGACATTGATTAGCTAGAAATGTAAATACAGAAGAAATACATGGCAGCCATCTTGAAAAATGGCTGCCTTTGCACGTTGTTTTACGATTTTTGCTGTAACTTGAAAAATAGTGGAGCGATTTTGTTCATACTTGGTATGTGAATACTTTAAGCATGGCCGAATGTCTAATGACACTTTGGGTTGTAGGCGGCCATTTTGAAAAATGGCCGCCATTTTTACGTGTGTTATTTTACATTTTTTACTATAACTCAAAAAGTAGTAGAGCGATTTTATTCATATTTTATCTGTGAATACTATAAGCATGGCACACTGTCTAATGACACTTTGGGTAGTAGGTGGCCATTTTGAAAAATGGCCACCATTTTTGACGTTTTTTACTATAACTTGAAAAGTAGTGAAGCAATTTTGTTCATATTTGATATGTGAATACTTATGAGCCTTGCACACTGTCTCATGAATGAGCCTTGCACACTGTCTCATGACACCTCGCGTAGAAGGTGGTGATTTTAAAAAATGGCCGTCATTTTTACATTTTTTGCTATAACTCCAAAAGTATTGGAGCGATTTTGTTCATATTTGATATGTGAATACTTTTAGCATGGCACATTGTCAAATAAAACTTTGGGGAGTAGTGGGCCATTTTGAAAAATGGCCACCATTTTTATTTGTGTTATTTTACATTTTTTATTATAATTCAAAAAGTAATAGAGCGATTTTGTTCATATTTGATATGTGAATACTCATTAGGATTGCATACTGTCTTATGACATTTTGGGTAGCAGACGGCCATTTTAAAAAATGGCCAGCATTTACATGTATGCGTGGGCGTTTTTTTAAAAATTTTATTTGTGGCTACTTAAAAGCAAATTACTCCTTCTGATGACAACTTGGCTAGTGAGCAACCATTTTGAAAATGGTGGCCTTTCTTATGTGTGTTATTTTACAATATTTGCTATATATTTTGTTTGTAAAATGCCAGCCATTTCTGTTCGATGGGACTAGCTACGCTTTGGCGTTGCCGTTGTTCTGGTTTGGTTCTATTTATATTAATGAATTATTCATCTAATTTCATGCTTGAAATGCCATGGCATATAATTGTGGATGTTTATTCAGCAGTTGTCTATTTTAATGCATGAACAATATTCTATGTGATTGTTACCAAGTACATTTACTAGATATTGTATGAATTGATTATGATCACCAGAGATGCAATCAGTTTACATATCCATTATCATATTCTTATATGTAAAACCTGTGTCATCCTATGGGCCTTATATACATAAGTACTTATGGGAGGAGACTGGAACCAAAGACAGATTGTACATCCCTAAAGGGATCCAACACCTTACAAAACTTCTTAACAGAAAGGAATAAGGGAAAATGCTTGCCGGATTCTGAATCTGTGTATTTTTTAATGATGTAGCTTTCACTTGAAGTGTACCCTTGAGAATAATGAACTTACTTTCAAATTGGTCTTGCTTTTGTGATGTATGTGGCTTTTTAGCAAATCTGCCACGCTCATTTCTTTCCAGAACCATCTTGTTCAAATGTATTCTATATCACTATACGCGCATGTAAAGACAGATGACATAGATATACAGGGTGGGCCAAAAAAAACCACCCCCCTAGCCAATATTTCTGATAAATATTCAATTTTTAACATGCACACCAACAATGATATATCATTTTAAAGATAATTTAATTTGCAACAAAATGATATATAATAGAATAATTTTCAACAACTCTGGCTTGAGATATAACCATTTGTGTGACATGGGGGTCAAAAAACACCTTTTCAATTTTCGTCGATTTTGCGAACAATTGCCTATTTCTACCAAATTTTAAAAAATTACAACATTGTCATGAGTTTTTCATGATTGGATATTATATATTGTTTTCATTCAGTTTTTGAACCTTACATGCTCAATATATATGTGTATGCTTATAAAACTAATTCATTTCTTCTTCAGTCTGTCCAAATATGGCTCAATAGACTCACCCCCGGACCTAACTTCTGATTTGATTTCTCGCTTAAAACGTGAAAGCCATTGGTATAATTGATGGACCTCTGCAGAAGTACCATCCAACACCTAATTATTCATTTTTTCTGTTTGTCTACACCCCTGATGGTCTAGGGATCTCCATAGGCCAACTGTTCTAAATGCCCCAAGTACTATACATGTAATCAAAAGGCTATACTCTATATCAGTAAGCAAGAATAGTGACTTTTGCGATAAAAGGCTACTCAAATCGAGATGACATTTTTCTGAAAGGTAGATGGTGTCCACTCGGTGTTTCCCAAAAAGGAAAGACCATACAGGCCCTGTTTTTTGAACCAGGAGCAAAAATATACTCTGAATGTTAATGACATGAGGTGGTAAAAAGGACTCCTCAAGAATATAAAAAACATGTGAAAGAAATTTCATTTTCTGATAGAACAGTGCTCCATCACACAGGTCCAATGCTACCATGGATTTTTTGGAGATTGGAAATGTCACCATCTCTAGCCCAGAAAAATGGCTTACTGGCAGTCCAGTTGCCAATAATGTTGATTACCATACCTGGGGGCATCTAGAACAGTTGGTATTTAAATATACCCAGCCTATCAGGGATGTAGAGGAACTAAAAAAAGAATAACTAGTATAGTAGTTGAAAGGTACTTCCGCATACATCCATCAATTATGCCATCAACCAATGGCTTCCGTGTCTTAAGCGAATAATCCAATCAGAGGATGGGTCCGGGGGGGGTCTATTGAGCTATTTTTGGACAGACTGAAGAAGAAATTAATTAGTTTTATATGGATACACATGTTTATTGAGCATACATGGTTCAAAAGCTGAATGAAAACAATATATAATATCCAATTATGAAAGACTCATGACAATGTTGTAATTTACTAAAATTTGGTAGAAATAGGCAATTGTTCGCAAAATCTACGAAAATTGAAAAGGTGTTTTTTGACCCACATGTCACATAAATGGTCATATTTCTATATGGGGTTGTTGAAAATGGTGCTATTATATATCATTTTGTTGCAAATTAAATTATCTTTAATATGATATATCATTGTTAGAGTGATTGTTAAAAAATAAATATTTATCAGGAATATTGGCTAGGGGGGTGGTTTTTTTTGGCCCACCCTGTACATATAAATTATATATTGCACCTGTATTTACTTACATGGGAATATATTCCCTTTGGAAAAATGCAAATGCATGAACATATATGTTCATCTTATATATGACTTCAAGCTAACATATTATTTCATATTTATATTTTCATAGTTAGTTTAACATGAATAATAGATCGATGAGAACAATATTCTTTGTTTTTTTTAAATTGATGGGTTTACTGTGAATTCAAAAAATTACAATTTGCAAGGGGTAAGTATACTGTATAAGCTAGCTAGTGGCTTTGTATTTTATGATAGGCCAGGGTAATTAAATTAGTTGTTTCTCTTTCTTCTATTTTTCAAAATTGATACGGGAATGACGGTTTTTATATTACCTCTTTTGTCTATCTAAAATGCTGATGAGGGACGGGATGATTTTTTTCTTTAATATAACTGTAAAAACAAATAACTAATTTTGAAGGAAATAAACTGAGTTTATGTTGAATTTATATGTTGAATTTAGCCTACTTTACTGGTATATTTGATCATTTATCAGTACCACGATATTGTCAATTATCCTGATCCATAAAAAGTAAAAAAGAAAAAAAGTGTTTCACACGCCATGGATGCGCGCGAGGTATGGTGTTTTTTTTCTCAGAAATGGCAGAAAAAGGTGGAGGGGGGATTGGGCCACATGCGGGCAAGAATGAGAAACAACTTATTTAATTACCCTAACCTTAGTTCATCCAGTAGTACGTTTTTACTGCAAAGTAGTGTTTTTATATGCAGCTTAATAGCATAAAATATGTTGAATGAAGCATATTGTGTGGATTAGTCGTGTGACACACAAACTGACCAATACATGAGGGTATTAGCTACTTTTCACATAAACCAAAGGAGGACAGTGCTTTTATTTCAACTGGTAGCTTACCTCCACACGACTAATCATGTGACCATGGTGGTGGTCCCCTTTAAGCAGAGAAAAAGCTACCTTTTGTACATCCATCCTTAAGCATAGAAAAGGCTACCTATTATACATCCTTAAGCATAGAAAAGGCTACCTATTGTACATCCTTAAGCATAGAAAAGGCTACCTATTGTACATCCTTAAGCATAGAAAAGGCT